CTGCCTCTTGATCTGTGTACAGGTTCCGCATGAACATAATTAAGTGTTCTGGAATTCCCATTCTTCGCAATGTTATCCATAATTTGTTGTGATCCACACAGTCGAATGCCTTTGCGTTGTCAATAAAACACAGGTAAACATCTTTCTGGTATCCTCTGCTTTCAGCCAGGATCCATCTGACATCAGCAGTGATATACCTTGTTCCACGTCCTCTTCTGAATCCAACTTGAATTTCTAGCAATTCCCTGTAGATGTACTGCTGCAACTGCTTTTGAATGCTCTTCAGCAAAATTTAACGTGTGTATGATATTAATGATATTGTTCGATAATTTCCACATTTTGTTGGATCATCCATCTTTGGAATGGGCACAGATATGGATCTCTTCCAGTCAGTTGGCCAGGTAGCTGTCTTCCAGATTTCTTGGCATAGACAAGTGAGTGCTTCCAATGCCGTATCTATTTGTTGAAACATCTCAGTTGATATTTTGTCGATTTCTGGAGCCTTGTTTTTCGCCAATGCCTTCAGTGCAGCTTGGACTTCTTCTTTCAGTACTGATCACATGCTACCTCCTGAAATGGTTGAACGTCGACCAATTCTTTTTGGTATAGTGACTCTGTGTATTCCTTCCATCTGCTTTTGAGGCTTCCTGCATCATTTAATATTTTCCCCATAGAATCTTTCACTATTGCAACTCGAGGCTTGAATATTTTCTTCAGTTCTTTCAGCTTGAGAAATGCTGAGCATGTTCTTTCCTTTTGGTTTTCTATCTCCAGCTTTTTGCACGTCATTGTAATACTTTACTTTGCCTTCTCGAGCTGCCTTTGAAATCTTCTGTTCAGCTCTTTTACTTCATCATTTCTTCCTTTTGCTTTAGCTATTGACGTTCAAGAGCAAGTTTCAGAGTCTCTTCTGACATCCATTTTGGTCTTTTCTTTCTGTCCTGTCTTTTTAATGACCTCTTGCTTTCTTCATGTATGATGTCCTTGATGTCATTCCACAACTCATCTGGTCTTCAGTCATTAGTGTTCAACACGTCAGTCTGTTCTTGAGATGGTCTCTAAATTCGGGTGGGATATACTCAAGGTCGTACTTTGGCTTTCGTGGACTTGTTCTAATTTTCTTCAGTTTCAACTTGAACTTGCATATGACTCTTCCACAGTCGTCCCCTGGCTTTGTTCTGACTGATGATACTGAGCTTTTCCATTGTCTGTTTCTACCGATGTAGTCGATTTGATTCCTGTGTATTCCATCTCACGAGGTCTACATGTATAGTCGCCGTTTATGTTGGTGAAAAAAGGTATTTGCAATGAAGAAGTTGTTGGTCTTGCAGAATTCTATCATGTGATCTCCGGCATCGTTTCTGTCACCAAGGCCATATTTTCCACCTATCAATCCTTCTTTGTTTCCAACTTTCACATTCTAATCACCAGTAATTATCAATGCATCCTGATTGCATGTTCTGTCAATTTCAGACTGCAGAGGTTGGTAAAAATCTTCAGTTTCTTCATCTTTGGCCTTAGTGGTTGGTGCATAAATTTGAATAATAGTTGTATTAACTGGTCTTCCTTGTAGGTGTATGGACTTCAGGATAGATCTTGAAAAAAATGTTCTTTTTGACGATGAACACAATGCCATTCCTCTTCAAGTTGTCATTCCTGGCATAGCAGACCATATGATTGTCCAATTCAAAATAGCCAATATCACATTTCAGCTCACTAATGCCTAGGATATCAATGTTTATGCATTCCATTTTGTTTTTGGTGATTTCCAATCTACATTCATACTTCGTGCATTTCACATTCCAATTATTTATGGATGTTTGCAGCTGTTTCTTCTCATTTTGAGTTGTGCCAGATCAGCAAATGAAGGTCCCGAAAGCTTGACTCCATCCACGTCATTAAGATCAACTCTACTTTGGAGAGCCACCTCCTCCCTAGTCGTATTTTGAGTGCCTTCCAACCTGGGGGAGCTTATCTACTGGCACTATATCAGACAGTGTTCCTCTGCTATTCGTAAAGTTTTCACTGGCTAATTTTTTTCGGAAGTAGACCGCCAAGTCCTTCTTCCTAGTCAGTCTTAGTCTGGAAGCTCAGCTGAAACCTGTCCACCATGGGTGACCCTGCCAGTATTTGAATACCAGTGGCATAGTTACCAGCATCAAAGCAACATGCAGGCCCCCACGGTATGACAGACTGACAGATGCATGGCAGTGGGGAGTCAATATAGAAAATTATTAATATTTTGCTTTTTTTTTTTTTCACCAGGTCTTCTAAATACATTGTGTATTCTACACTTACAGCACATCTCAGTTTGTTCTAGCCACATTTCAAGCACTCAGTAGCCCATATGTGGCTACCTGATTGCACAGCACAGTGTTGTGCTTAATGGGGCAGCTGGAGGTGAAGCTGCATATCAGGCAGGAAGTCTTTATGTGCAAACTAGGAGTTTTAGTTTTATTCTCCAGTCTATGAAATTTTAAGCAGAGAAGTGACATCTTTGATTTTGTACTTAATCTGATGGTCTCAGGGAGGATAGCTTACAGGGGAGAGATTTAGGGGTGGAGGCTTAAAAAGAAGGGTGTTGTAGTGGTCCAGGTAAGGAGCGATAAAAACCAAACAAACACTATGGGGAATATGGACCAAAGGAAGTATGTCTGAGAAAGATTTAGGACATAGGATCATAAGGATTTTGTGGGACTATTAGATGTGAAGAAAGGAAGAGGGAGTAATCTAGGATAGTTGTCAGGTGTCTGCCCTGGCCAGTGGGACCAATAATATTGCTAACTGAAATGGAAGGAGATCAGGTTGTGAGGGAGAGATGACATCAGTATGGGACATATTGACTGAGGTGCCTTTGGAACAGGCAGGTGGGTATGTAGTTTGACATGGAAAGGGTTGGTCAGAGAGAATGTGTAGAGAACGTAAAAAGACTGGGTAGAAACAGCCTTTTAAAGTGCCAACTGAAAACTGTCACAGTTAACAAGGAGATGTGAGGCTGGCGTAATCAAGGAAAGCTTCATAGAAAAGGTGGGATTTAAGCAGGATTTTAAAGAGTGGGTAGGATTTAGAAAGTCCAAGAAGATAGAAGAGGCAGCAGGAATGTAGAGAGGTGAGAACATATCACCCTGTTTAAGGGACATGGTGAATAATAAACACGTCCTGCTAGGCCAGAAGGGATTAGGGCTGAGATCAAAGCTGGCCTGATTTAGTTTGCAGACATGTGTTTGGCTTGTGTAGGATTGGATCACACAATGTTCTAAATTTAAGTTAGGTGCCAACATTTCCACACAAAAACCCAGATTTCTGACTTAAAATAAAAGGAGGGTGGTGGTAGATTTGGCAGTGTTGGTAGTTCTGTGTGGCAGTAATCAGCTGAAGCTGACTAGTAACTGCTCCCTTTTGTATAACTGCTCCTTTTCCCTCTCTCTCCAGCAAGTCTGTTTTACTTGTTTATGTTATTTGCCTGGGTCCTATAGACATTTGTGCTTTCTACCTCTGAGCCAGGGATCAGTATGTGATAAAGACACAAAGGAAGATTAGGAACAGATTATTGAGTGAGGGCTTTGAATACCAAGCTAAGGAGTGGGCAACCGTTGAATAAGGAATTGATGAAATTAAAGCCGTATTTTAGGAGGAGTATCCTGAATCAGTGTGAAAAATGGAGAGCAGTTATTAGTTTTGAAAGAGTAGAGAGAGAGGCGATGGTGTTGGGATATTCAAGTAAGCCTAAAAATACAAAATGGAAGTCTCTTAGGGAGAGGTCATCCAGAAATGTTATTGCTGCCACACAAGAACCATCTGGGTCATTGAGCTTGCTTGGAAATTTGCGTACAGACTTCCAGAGTTTAGGCTGTTTAGTGTAGGGAACAGTGAGTCTGATTGTTTGCATTGTTATAATACCTCAGTGATTTCAGAGAAACATTGGGAGTATGGGTGTCCTTTTTCTCCCTGCTGTGAGCACAGATAGGTGATCATTGAGAAAATGGAAGTGCTAAGCAAGGGATGGCAAACTCTGAAATTCAGGTTGTGAGAGCCAAGCTGGTGGCTGAGCTGCGTGTTTTGTCATCCAGTGTAACACTTGCCTGGTCACACTGATTTAAAACATTGTTGGGCATTATGGAAAAGTCAAGCAAAACATGTTTATTGTTTGTGGCTTGCAGGTTGTTGGTTTGCAGTCACTGTAGTCACTGTTCTAAGTAGATATAAATTGAAGGAAAGGGTCTTTTATTTTTTAAATAGGCTAAAATTAATATCTGACAATTATTAACTGTGTGCCAGGCACTATTCTAAGCTCTTTACATAAATATTTAATTCTCACAACAACGCTCTGAAGTAGATGCTATTACTCTCTCCATTTTACAGACAAGGGAACCGAGGCCCTAGAGGTTAAGAACTTACCCAGGGTCAACAGGCTGAAAGGATGGAACTAGAACTTGAACCCAAGCACTTTGATTCTCTGGAGGCTTTTAACCACTATGTTAAACTGCCTCAGTATCTTTATTTGTTCTAATGCCATATAAATAAGAACCTTATGCTCTTATTCTGAAAGCACCAGTATAGCCTATTTCAGGGGTGTCAGTTTGGTCCAGGTACTCCTAGAAGAAATGAAACTCCAGAATCGACTCTTACAGACCTGCCTTTCAGGGGAGCAGATAATGTGCTAGGTCCTTGGGCAATCTTGGCTTGGAGCTGAGAGAACAGGGTGTGTTGTGTGTTCAAAGGTCTATTTTCTTCCTCTCACTAATGGCTCAGTGTTAGCTTACAGAGTGTGTCGGGTAACCCTTTATTAAAAAACAAACAAACTCAGTTCTTCTTATACAAGCTAAATCATATTAGATTTTCTTCATATATGTTTTAATGAAAAATTATCACAGAACAAATTTTATAAATACTTGAATTTTCATGATATTGTAGAGAAGCAAAGGCATTCGTACAAAGCCTCACAACTCGGCAGGTTTTCCTACAATGTTTAATGTAGTATCTTTCTCTTTGGTCTGCAGATGAAACATGTGAATGAAAGATTTAAAGATGAAAATAACAAAGAGGTGGTTCTGATGTGCATTGGCATCACTTCAGGAGTTGGACGACTGCTCTTTGGACGGATTGCAGATTATGTGCCTGGAGTGAAGAAGATTTATCTACAGGTAGTTTCTTAAGACTTCTTCCCCCAGCAAATTTATGCTTTTGCCTAATGACTCATTAAATATACTTACTTGCTTAAGTTCCTCTGTAAAAATGAGAAATATTTTCTAGAACATAACTTCTCCTACGGGAAAATCAATCTAGGGCAAGGGTTTTAGACATGAGAGATTGGCTATCAAACAACAGCCTTCTTTATTTTGTCATGGAACTCCCCCAAACCAAAATTTTTTTTGCCTATTGCTTTTTCTAAGAAGAATGTTTTATTTTTGGCATAGGTGTCATGGATTAAATTATATCCCCCCAAAAATGTGTGTGTCATGATTCCCAGTATTGTATGATTATGTACCATTTTGTAATCTGATGTGATTTCCTTATGTGTTGTAAACTCTACCACTATGATGAGGTTATATATGATTTCCTCATGGGTTGTAAATTCAATCACTATTATCTAATAGATGGATTAGCAGCAGTTATACCGATGAGGTTTACAAGATTGGATGGTGTCCTAAGCCAATCTCTTTTGAGATATAAAAGAGAGAAGCGAGCAGAAACTCAGGGGAACCTCATACCACCAAGAAAGCAGTTCCGGGAGCAGAGCATGTCCTTTGGACTTGAGGTTCCTGCGCTGAGATGCTCCCAGACCAAGGGAAGACTGATGCATCACAAGGACCTTCCTCCAGAGCCGACAGAGAGAGAAAGCCTTCTCCTGGAACTGATGCCCTGAATTTAGCCTACTGGACTGTGAGAGAATAAATTTCTCTTTGTTAAAACCATCCACTTGTGGTATTTCTGTCAGAGCAGCACTAGATGACTAAGCCATTAGGTCTGAGAGACATGTGCAGATCCTGTGCCTTTTGCAATATGTTGTGAAATTCAGGGGAGTGCGTGTCTTTTGAGCTTCTTTATTGCAAATTGCCTCCTGAGTGTTGTAGGGTGTAAACTGAATGAATGCTAACTTTAAGGTCATTATTGCTACTCATTCAACAAGTAATGTAAGTGACTCCTTCATGCAGCACACTGTGCTAAGTGCTGCAGAGTTCAATGAAACATGGTCGGTACCCTCAGTTAGTAGCTCCTGGTCTCATGGGGAGACAGGTGAAACATGTTGTAGCACAGTGCAATAAATAGGTCATTTCACTGATAAGGAAATCACCAGAAATCACTGGTAAAGGTCTAAGCAGGCTTCTTGGGCAGGCTGAGTGTTAAGAGATGAGTAGTACAGGGAAAGTCAGCACAACTGGACTAAACCAAAGCTAAGAAGTTTCCTGAATACAGCCAAACACTTCGAGGGACAGAGTAGCAGGGGTGGGCGTCTGGTGACCATGCTTTCACGGGACATCTAGGTCAACTGGCATAACAAAGTTTATTAAGAAAATGTTCTGCATCCCACATCAGTGAGTGGTGTCTGCGGTCTTAGAAGCTAGCGAGCGGCCATCTAAGATGCATCAATTGGTCCCAACTCACCTGGAGTAAAGGAGAATGAAGAACACCAAAGACATAAGGAACGTATTAGCCCATGAGACAGAAAGGGCCACATAAACCAGAGAGTTCATCAGCCTGAGACCAGAAGAACTAGATGGTACCCGGCTACCACAAACGACCACCCTGACAGTAAACACAACAGAGAGTCCCAGATGGAGCAGGAGAAGGGTGGAGTACAGAACTCAAATTCTAGTAAGAAGACCAGACTTAATGGTCTGACTGAGACTGGAGGAACCCCAGAAGACATGGCCCCCGGACTCTGTCAACCCAGAACTAAAACCATTCCCGAGGCCAACTCTTCAGACAAAGATTAGACTGGACTATGGGACATAAAATGATACTCATGAAAGTGTGCTTCTTAGCTCAAGTAGATACATGAGACTAAATGGCAGCTTCTGTCCAGAGGCAGGATGAGAAGGCAGAGAGGGTCAGGAGCTGGTTGAATGGACACGGGAAATCATCGGTAGAAAGGAGGAGTGTGCTATCCCAGTATGGGGAGAGCAATTAGGGTCACATAACTATGTATAAATTTTTGTATGAGAGACTAACTTGAATTGTAAACTATCACTGAAAGTACAACAATAAAATAAAATAAAAATAGATGAGTAGTAGCTATATAGATAAGGAAGACAGAGAAGGGTGTTCCAAGCAGAGAAAACCACACGGGCAAAGATGTGGAGGTGTGTCATAGTACGCTATGTCTGGGAAACTCTAAGTAGTGTTTGAATGGAATAAAAGGAGAGTAGTAGATGGACTGACTTGAAGAATAGGCAGGAGCCAGGTTTTGAAGGGTCTTTATGTGTACAAGAGGATGAATTCTGCCCTGAAACCTACCAAGAACCATTAAAGGATTTTAAGCAAGGGAGTGACATGACCTGAGCTGTGTTTTAAAGATAAATCCAGTAACTGTAAAGAGTGGAATGGAGTAGAAGAGGAAGAGTGAGGTAGATAGCCCCAAAAAGCCACATATTGTATGATTCCATTTATATGAAATGCCCAGAATAGACAAATCCATAGACGGAAAGTGGTTACCAGGAGCTGGGGGAAGTAGGAAATGGGGAGTGACTACTTCTGGGTATGGGACTTTCTTTTTGGACTGATGAAAATGTTTTAAAATTAGTGGTTATGGTTGTACAACCTTATGAATATGCTAAAAAAATTGAAGCGTATGCTTGAAATGAGTGGATTTTATGGCATGTGAATTATATCTCAATAAAGCTGTTATTTAAAAAAAAAAAAAAGAAGAATGGAGGCAGAGGGACTAGTTGGAAATGAATAAAGTAGTTTAGGCAGGAAGAACCAAGACGGAGATATTGGGATCAAACGGAGTAAAATAGGGATAGAGGGATGAGAGTTCCATGGAGCCATCTCCTAAGCTGGGCCTAAGATTTGTGGCTTGGGCAAGAGAGTACATGGTTTTGCTATTTAGTCAGATGCAGTAATTCAGTAAATCGGGGTAGGATAGTGAGTTCATTTTACGATGTTAAGTTTGTGGTGCTCCACCTTGACAGGGAAGACAACAGAGAGTCCTGACAGAGCAGGAGAAAAGTGGGGTACAGAACTCAAATTCTACTAAAAAGACCAGACTTAATGGTTTGAGACTGGAGGGACCTCGGAAGACATAGCCCCCGGACTCTCTGATAGCCCAAAACTAAAACCATTCTTGAGGCCAACTCTTCAGACAAAAGATTAGACTGGACTATGGGACATAAGATGATACTCATGAAGAGTGTGCTTCTTAGCTGAAGTAGATACATGAGACTAAATGGGCAGCTCCTGTCCAGAGGTGAGATGAGAAGGCAGAGAGGGTCAGAAGCTGGTTGAATAGACACAGGAAATCTGGAGTAGAAAGGAGGAGTGTGCTGTCACAGTATAGGGAGAGCAACTAGGGTCACATAACAATGTATGTATAATTTTGTATGAGAGACTTAACTTGATTTGTAAACTTTCGCTTAAAGCACAACAGTAAATTAAAAAAAAAAGTTTGTGGCACTCTGGGAAAGTCACGCTGAGTTTGGAGCTCATGAGTGAGACCATGGGGATTGCATGGGGTATATGGGGTAGGTGGAAGACTAGGGGCCTGCAAAGGAGACGGAGTGGGGGTCGATACAGTGGTAGAGAAAAAACAGGGAATAGAGTCTCTCCAGGGACAGGAATGGTCAGTAGTGTCAGTAGCTAGTGAGAGGTCAGGCAAGATAAAGACTAAAAAGTTTTCATTGGTTTTAGCAACAAAGACTGTTAGTGACCTGACAGAGTAGTTTCAGTGGAGAGGCAAGTACAGAAAACACTCATGATCAGTTGAGTAAATAGAAATATAGACAACTTTGTCATAAAGGTTGGTTGTGGTAGTCTAGTACAACTAGTTGGTGCCCAGCTACCCCCATCTACTGCTCTGACTACCATCACAATAAAGGGTCCTGGACAGAGCTAGAGAAAAATGTAGAACAAAATTCAAACTCACAAAAAAAGACCAGACTTACTGGTCTGACAGGGACTGGAGAAACCCCAAGAGTATGGCCCCCAGACACCCTTTTAAGTCAGTACTGAAGTCACTTCTGAGGTTCACCCTTCAGCAAAGATTAGACAGGCCCATAAAACAAACATTAATGCATATATCTCAACCGTGTGTTCGAGACTAAATGGGTATACAGCCCGGGGGCAAGGACGAGAAGGCAGGAGGGGACAGGAAAGCTGGATGAATGGAATTGGGGAACCTAAGATGAAGAAGAGGAAAGTGTTGACATGTCGTGGTGTTGGCAACTAATGTCGCAAAATAATATGCGTATTAATTGTTTGAGAATCTAATTTGCTCTGCAAACCTTTGTCTAAAGCACAATTTAAAAAAAAAGAAAAAAGAAAAGTTGGTTGTGGGAGGAAGGTAAAGGAGAACCAGAAGGGGAACTTGGGATGTGAGGATTGAGCATTTCTACTCATTTTATAGGTGAGGCCGTGTTCAAGCAGAGCCTTGAAGGAGAGGTGAAGTTTGGTACAGGAACGTGATGGGCAAAGGCATTTATTACAGATAAAGTAACTTCCATTAATAGCCATCACCATGTATTGAGCATTTTCATGTGCCAGAAGATGAACTAAGTGCTATATATCCATTATGTCATTATTTCCATTTATAGATGTAACCACTGAGCAACAGAGAGGCTACATCGCTGTGGGTGTCTGTGTGTGTATAGGTCCAGGCAGCCACAGGAAGAAGTCTCATCACACAGCTAGAAGGTAGTTAATTATAGGCAGCTGGTAGAGTACTGCTTTTTAAAATGAATTTACTGTATTGTGATCATTCCCCCCTTTATCTGTACCTCATCATGGATATCCTTGCTGGGCATTTAGCAGAATATTAAGTCTTGTTCTCAAGTGTCAAGGAGCCCTCTAATGGACATTTGCTGCATTACGGACTCTGAATTTCCTTACTTTCATTCAGGAAATTCCGAGTGCCTATGGTTTGGGTTTGGACTTTGCCCCACGCACCAGCCTACACGCTGGTGAGATGAATACAAACAAGACAGAT